AATTGAACCGTGTCCAACTGGGTGCCACCCGTCCTATACATTGTGTCAAAAGTAGAAACACATTGTCCAACAAGTTTACAGACTTTCTGTGAAAAAGTTAGAAGAAAAAAAAACCTAAAATCATTTGGTCTAATCCTCAAAAACTGAATTACAATTTAATTATATTATAAACGTACCAGTGGACCAACATTCAAAAAACGATTTCAACCGTCATGCGGTGACTTCTTCTTCTTAATTTAATTGGCCCAGGCCCTCGACAACGAGGTGAACATGGCCATGCTTACTAATCACAGTTAAAGCCGGAATCGCTTTTCAAAAAATTTAATGAAATGATGCAATACCCGAAGCAGGGCAGACGAGCGTCCGTCCTACTCGAGCAAGCAAACGAGACTTGTCATGCGGTGACGACAGTCAGAAACGTAATGAGAGTCATAGAATACAAAGTCACACAGACACTGAACAACAATAATATGATAAAGGAAAGCACCGCGTTACGATTCCGCCAATAACTATATTTATTTATAAAACGTAACGCGTAACGTTTTATAAATATAAAAGAAGAGCACTCAATAATACTAGCAAACACATTGAACGATTACTTAAATTAGAAATAGCAGACGGATGTAAATACCGTAGAACTTTGCATCATAGACTTTGTTTCCTGGAGAGGAAAATTATAAACCATCTCCCGCTCAATATTTTTAATAGATTTGTCAGTACACAATATAGTTTTTCATAGATTGTTTGGTAAGGAATCAGAGAGATTAAATAAAAAATTTTTATGGCTACAAAAAAGAAATGGTTACGATAAAGAAAAGATTAAAGACATTAATTATTTTGTAATAGATAACGTTAAGGATACAAATTTATCTGACTTGGTTGGCATTGATTCTCATAAAAAATTCCTTTTTCAAGAATCAAAGAATTTAAATAGTAACGAGGTTTTCAAAATTAAAATATCAGCGTAACAGTTTAAACATACATTATACAATATTTTGGAAGTTAATGATAAATGGTTTAAGAACCTTAGTAATGTGTTGATACCTCGTGAAGTCAAAGCGTTGTTACAATTGGGTGAGAATTTTTGCTTGCCAATATTCAACATAAATAACACCATCATCGATTTTGTTAAACACATCGAACACAATTTTTTCAGACTCAAATTACCAAACGAGAGAAATTAGGAACAAAATATTTCCCTTAATTAAGGGAATTAAACAAACATGTACCAGGAAGACCGACATAGAAAAGCGAATTTCTTCATTAGTCACAATTACTAAAACATTTGTCAGGAGCAATCCACAGATAATTTTTACAAGGGCCGATAAGGGCAATATGGTGGTTGTACTTGATAGGATAGATTATGTGAGTAAAATGGAGGCATCATAGTGAGACTTATGAGATAGTGACCCATAATCCGGTCAACAGAGTTTTAACACGGCTTAAGACCTTATTGAAAGGATGGAAACAGCGGGGGTTGGTGGAAAAAAAATTCGGTATTTATTAAATTAAACTCTTCAAACCCGGTTGTACCTCATGCTTATGGCCTTCCGAAGATCCACAAAGTAGGACATCCACTACGCATAATTGTTTCTTCGGTGGGGAGCCCTCTCCATAATCTAGCCTCATTTCTAAATGATATTTTACATAAAAGTATACCAGAAGCGAATAGTTTTATTAAGAATAGCTTTCAACTGACTAAACATATTTCAAGTTTGACGATTAATGACAATGAAGTTCTTTTATCTTTGGACGTGGTTTCACTATTCACGAATGTACCTATCGACTTGGTTTTTGAAGGTATAGAGAGATGGCATCTTATTGAAAGAAACACGAACATCCCAAAAAATGAGTTTTTTAAGGCTCTAGATCTAGTTCTTAATTCAACCTTCTTTAAGTTCAACGATAAAATTTACAAACAAACTTTTGGTGTACCGATGGGTTCACCATTGTCACCCATAGTTTCGGACATAGTTATGCAAGATCTGGAAACTAAAGCATTACAGAGGTTATCAATCTCGCCATCTTTTTATGTTAGGTATGTGAATGACATTGCATTAGCATATGATGTATCACACATTGACACTTTAGTGAATAGTTTCAATTCGTTTCATACCAGGTTGAAATTTACAACAGAAATAGGGGGAGATAGATTAAATTTTCTGGATGTTAGTTTGATTAAAAAGGGAAATTCTCTCATTCACAATTAGTACCATAAACCAACATTTTCGAGGCGGTATTTGAATTTTTTTTCCAGACACCCTTTATGTCGAAAGGTGGGTACAATAGTGGGGTTAATAGATAGAGTGTTGTTATTGTCACACCCTTGCTATCATCAGGAAAATTTCGAGCTGATTATAAAAATTCTTTTAAACAATGGATATCCACTGAAATTGATTTTCTCGGAAATTAAAAATAGGCTGTCAAAAAAATTCAAACAATGGAATGGTTTGAGGATAACAACTACAGATAATACAATTGTTAATAATGTAGATACAATCACGGTTATTTTACAATTCCTTTTATACCTTTTTTATCGGAAAAAATAAAAAAATTTTTTAAGAAAGATTCCTTAATAAGGATGGCATATAAGGGGATTAACAATCTTAAGGGATTTATTAAAGGTCATAAAGACTTTCGATCGAAATTTTCCCATACAGACGTGGTATACAAAATTGAGTGTCAAGATTGTGATGCATCATATGTGGGCCAAACTGGTAGATGTTTGAAGACAAGAATAAACGAACATAGAAATCACATTAATTGGAATACCACGCAGCATTCCGTCATTACAGAACATAGAATTAGTCATCAACATGAGTTTGATTGGGAAAATATTAAGATAATAGATAAAGAAAGAGTTCTCAATAAAAGATTGATTTCGGAAATGATCCATATAAAGAAACAGAGACAGAGTTTAAATTTACAAAACGACACGTACACGTTGAATCCACTATACTTGGAGTTATTGATGGAATCGTAACGCGATGCTTTCCTTTATCATATTATTGTTGTTCAGTGTCTGTGTGACTTTATTCTATGACTCTCATTACGTTTCTGACTGTCGTCACCGCATGACGATTGAAGTCGTTTTTTGAATGTTGGTCCACTGGTACGTTTATAATATAATTAAATTGTAAATCAGTTTTTGAGGATTAGACCAAATGATTTTAGGTTTTTTTTTTCTTCTAACTTTTTCACAGAAAGTCTGTAAACTTGTTGGACGATGTGTTTCTACTTTTGACACAATGTATAGGACGGGTGGCACCCGGTTGGACACGGCTCAATTGGACACGAGCCACTCACAGCGCTTGAGACTACAAAGCTCCTAAGCACCGGTCGCTATGATTGGTGGTGTCCAGTCGAGCCGTGGTCAATCGGGATCACCCCATTACGATTTTTATTATGTTACATGTTCATATTTCAACTTAGATAAATTATTGACATAAAATGTGATTAACTCGTATTTGAATCTTAATTTCAATGGTTCAATTCTTAACGTTATGTAATTTGACGATACACTTTATTTATTGCTTTGTACAAGTTTATATTCCTAATGGACATTGTTTCAATATTGTAACTTTGTATTATAGTACACTAGGTCTCACATTAGACAAAAATTGTAATGGTTTAGTTAAAGAACTGTTAGGTCAAAAATATTGTAACCTATATTTAAAGTATTTTATATTGTGATGATTGATTATATTGATATGACGATTTATTATATAGCTAATCTGGTAATTGGATAAAGAAGAATGGACAGGATTGTCATGGAACAAGATATTATCATGAATACTACAGTAACGTTTTAAATTTGATATTGATAAGGACCAAAATGTAATGGTCGAAACGTATATTATTTAGTTGATATGATTTGTTTAATTCACACGTAAATAAATTGTGCATCCAAAAAACAAATGTTGTCTTTAACGGTCTTGTTTTCTATTGTTACTTATAGTTTATATCACATCTTGGAACTGCATTTACAACATTTATATTTTTCAAATATAAGAACGGTCTTATTATAGATATATCTTAAACTCCACTAAAGGAACGTTGAGGAACTTTTTGTTGCCTATTGTTGCTGACAACTGAAACAATTTGTCTCCACCAAATAAACTCATGAGATGTAATGCTGCTTCTATATAGAGTTAGGTATCTCATGTTTCTGTTCCTGGCGACGATGGGGAACATCGAGAAGCATATTGGAACTTTCACGGAAACAGGTAATAGAAATGCAAATGCTACTCTATGTTCCTTTAGTGCAATTTGAGTTCCGGTGCCAAAACACAAAGCCATTAACGTAAAAAAATTCAATGTTAGTAAAAACTCGCGTAAAGACATGCATGTCTCGCGCTGCGCGCCCACTTGGCGCGAGACACTACCGTGTCTCTTGATTTTAGAACCGTAAAGTGTTTATAAGCATCACTTAGATGCGTATCAATACAGTCCCCGAAATCTTATTCATATTGAATTTTTTTGCGTCGATAAATTTGCGTTTTGGCTCCGGAGCTCAAATTGGACAGGCCTGCTTTAGTGAATACGTAGCTTTAATGCTTCTCTAGCCCTCTCATGTCTTATTTTCTTTCACCGTTTTCTTTTATGCTTGTGCGATCTGTCTCTGTATCTCGTATCATCATCGTCGTCCGGTCTTTTCCTCTCGTTATCACGATACCGACGTTGCCTGTCATCGTCTCTTTTACCTCTCCTTTCCGATCTCTCTTCGCTGTGATCTCTTCTTCGGTCGCTGTTTTCGTCCTTCTTGCTTCTTCTTTCCGATCTATCTTCGCTGTGACCTCTCCTCTGATCACTTCTATCCCTATCTCGTCGTTCCTCCCTTCTTCTTCTATCTTTTCGCTCGCTATCGTACTTATTTCTCTCATGATAGTCATCATACGATCTATCTTCCTTTCTTCTGTCTCTGATATCTCTGTCTTCTCTTCGGCGCTCGTGTTTTCTGTATTCGGAACCACGATCTTTATCGCTCTCCTTTCTTTTTCCTTCCTCTTTATTTTTACCGTTATCATGACTCTTATCGTGCGATGCGTCAGGTTTCCTCGAGGATGAATAATTGTCCTCGCGTTTCTTCGGCTTGTCGTCCTCGTCGAAATACCGGATACCTTTTCCTTTGCCACGCCAACGCATCTTCGCGACTGATTGCGAGAAATCCACATGTATCCTTCGGTCGTCGATCAGAACGTTGTCCATCTTGAAATATGCATCCTCGCAGCTCTTACGATCGGCGAATTCGATGAATGCATACTGCAGGGAGTCGCCCGTTTGATGATCTCTTATAACTTCACAACTGTAAAGTCAATGAATCATAAAATTTAACAAAAATATGTAATATATAGTTATTTTAAACAGATGACTTAGAAATAATATATTTAAATAGATAAGATATAAATAATTCAATATAAAATTCAATATATAAATGTTAGAGAAAAAATTAATCGATAACAAGAACGTTAACCTATACGTAATTAAAAGCATAATGAAGTATACACAGAAAATATTAATTACTTGTTTCAAGTATTTAAAAAGTTCGTATATCCGCAAATCTGTTATTCTTCCAATCACACAAAATTATTAAATTAAATTCGATTATATAAAGTCGCTTTTTTGGTCAAATTATATATTTTTTAAAAGAAAATAATTTCGTGTTTTGAATACATAGTAATAAGATTTTCTCCTTTTCTCTTTTCTCTGTCTAAAATTTATAACATATATTTTAGTAAAGTATATTTTAATATTATTATACAGAAAATATTATTTGTTACGGATACTATTACTTAAACGAAAAAAAAACTAAGTATTCATTTTTCTTAGCAATAGAATAATATTTTTCTGTATGTATAAAAGCAAATTACATACCCAACAATTTTTCCGAAACGACTGAAGATAATTTCGAGATCGTCGTCATTCGTGACTGGATTTAATTTACAGACAAACAAGACATTTTCCGGCGGGGCAATATCCGCGTCCGGTATATCACCCACAATTTCTAATATCGTGGCTCTCGCCTTCGCTTCCTTGTTCTTCTGCATTTCCATGATCTCTTCCGTGGTCATGCCGCCGGTATCGTCGATTGCTTCATCTGCTCCAATTCTATCGCTCTAAACATGAATAAATATGAATTAAAAAAGCAGAGAGAGATAAAGAAGCTAACAGAGGTAAAGATTTATTAAAAAGACATATTGAAAACTTACACTTATAATAAGTAAAAAGCATGAAAAGAAATATGTTTGCTAACTTATTTAGCCTAACAACTATGATCAAATTTATTTAATATCTTTTTTACGTGCCTTTTTATCTTATTCAATGTAATCTTGACAGACAGTGAAAGTACATCAAACTAATATATCAATAAATCAAAAAGAATATGATGGGATTGCAAGCTTATTTTTTAAATGTATACCATTAGAGCTTCCTTTGTAGGTTCTGGACTTCTGTCTGGAACTACAAATCCCACAGGATCGTCAAACGGATCTTCCAAGATGACAGTATGAGATATCCTTATGTCCTGATACGGCCTTTGATCTCCGTCGCAGATGGTCTCGTTAAATTTGAGAATCACTTCTAATCCTTCTGTTATCTCTCCGAACACGCAATGTTCACTGTCCAAGGATTGCAGCTCTGACCCCAGCGTGATGAAGAACTGGGAGCCCAGCATGTTGTTACCACAATTCACCATGGACAGCAAACCTACACGGCTATGTTTGATCTTTGGCATCTGTTCGGCCTCATAGTAATGGGCCTTCTCGCCTAGTACAATTCCGTATACGCTCTCTCCGCCCTTTCCAGTACCAGTTGGATCACCGGTCTGTGCGATGAAGTTGGTTTGCACCGAATGGAAAAGATTCCAGTTGTAGTATTTTAGTTTGCACAGCTTCAGAAAATTCCGCGTGGCTATAAAGACAAAAATAATCATGTAGAGAAGAAAGTTTGTTCTTTCTAAATGTATTGTTGTACTTTGTGCACTTAAAATAGGTAATAAAAATTTAAAAAACTTAAAGTAAATTAAAAAAGTGGATAATTAAACGTTGTAAAAGAAAGAGGAAAGATGAAAAACTCAACAAATACAAAAGTTTACACAGATCTAGATACAGAGATATAATCTAAATACACACGCAGTACAACAACATATATTTTAAATATTGATTTTTATAAATTACAATTTATGAAAAAGTACTTACTTTGAGGACGTTCCTCAGTGTACAGATCCACTGTAAAATCTCCTATGGTAGTTTCTATCACTACAGCCATGTTTTCCTTATAAATTTTTTAATTGTTAAACAGTAATCTCAATCTTTCCTAGAAAAGATAATTATTATTTCGAAATAAAGCTATTAAGTTTCTTGTCCAATCTACTTGCTATACATTATACATAAATCCAACCCTTTTTTAGTTGATCCCTCTGGTTGGAAGTGCCTTTTATCACCTTAGGGTACAGCAAAAGGTCTCTTGCTTTATGTTATTATTTCTCTAATCATCTGTTTCACACAATTTTTCAACCTTCTTTAATGAATTTGTATATATCAGTGTATAAGGATCAGCCAACAAATTATTAAATTAGGTTAGGTGTTAAGTTAAGCCCCAGACACAATGGTCGCGTTCAGCAGACTCAACTGTTGTGGAGCGGATCCGTGAATGCTCGCTGCTATTGGATGATCTAGAAGAATACACCAATAGCAGCGAGTGCTCACGGATCTGCTCCACAACAGTTGAGTCTGCTGAACGCGACCAATGCGAAGAAATAGCGATAGCGATAGAAATAATACGATTTCAACCTATCAGAAATTGTATAACCAGTGTATCTGATTTCTGATAGGTTGAAATTGTATTATTTCTATCGTTATCGCTATTCCTTCGCATTATGTCTGGGGCTTTAGGTTAGTGTAGTAAAATTTATAAATGAATATCTAGAGGTCGCGTCTGTTGCAACACATCACATGGATGACACACACGCAAATTTCATATGGTTTCAAATCCGTTTGCCATTTTAAGCTGTTTCTAAGCTGCTATTCAAGCTATAGGTCGGTCCTTTTCAACGATTTCACCTGAATGTTGTCTCGTTTTTCTCCGGAAATTTTTTTCGAAGCATAACACGAGAATTACAATTGACGAAAGCATCGAAATTAAAAAGACTTCCCTCTTTCCATAATAAGGTTATAAAAATTATTTAAGAATATATATATATATTTCTTAATATATTTAATAATCTCTATAATCTTTAATAATCTCTATATTTAATAATAATATATGTCAATTATATCATACAAATATTTAATATTAATATATACCGATATATTAAAATAATATTTATACATTAATAATTTTGTAACTATATGTAATTATATAGATATACGTAAAAGTATACAATATATTCCACATAAATATATATAAATATATGATTTAATAAACACATATATATTATAAATTATATAATTTTATAAATTACGCATTATAAATAGTAGCCCCCGGTAAAAAGTTTTCTATGCATGACTGTGTATAAATATATGTATAAATATATATAATATATGTATAAATATGTATAAACATACATAAATATTCATAAACATACATAACTTGATATGAAATATGTCCATACATATGCATCCAGACAGCACACAATATTTACAAAATATTTACAAAATATTTAGAAATATTTATAAGATTTATTTTAAATATTTTGTAAATATTTTTGTGGTTTTAGATTGCACAGATCATAAATATTTATTATAAATACTATGAAATACTTATTAGAATAGTTATAGTAAATGCTATAAAAATACTTAATGAGACATTATAATCCAAATAAAAAATACTTATTAAAAATATTTATTTATATTTATCATAAATATTGCATAAAATATTTAGTCTATATTTTAATAATATTTCGAATAAAACTTTATATAAAATATGTATAAAATATCTATATAACATTTCAAAAAATGAATATTAATAAATATTTATCAAAAATATTGCAAAGCACTAAAAAAGCGATTATGAGTGTGGTCCACTTGATGCTACAAATGCTTTGAAACTTTTGATTGACCAATTGAAAGAAAAAATTTTATTAACTGACCAATTAAAAAATACTTCGAAGCATTTCTAGCATCAAGTGGACCTATATGCGCTTTTTAGCGCTTTATTAATGCTTTGTAAGCGCTGTGTGTTACTTGGGTATACAGAGTATCTTATAATCGCATTTTCTTTTAAGAACGTATTATTGAGGTAATTTCAGACGAAAATCCTAATATAAAAATATCGAGGCTAAAATAGTTTTTGAATTATAATTGGTTAAAGACAGTGTGTAATTCGAAAACTATTATAGTCTCGATATTTTTATATTAGGATTTTTGTCTTAGAGTGTTCAAAAGAATCCAAAAATAATAATAAAGGCTATAAAAGTAAAATGATTTTTGACTTACAAGCATTTAAAGTTAGCTTTCCTGATAGCAAGCTGACGTCAAAATGACGTCATTTGACGTCAAAATGATGACAAAATGACGTAGTTTGTTACCTGGGTTACAATAATTAATTTGTAGAGGATCGGACTGGCCACTACAGTGGCCAGTAACGGAAGTCTGTACGTGTATAACTTGAATCTTGGTTGATAGGACGTCATTTCCCAAGAACACTTGACGAAAGTCGTTGATGTCATTTGTGTTCATTACATCAATCCAGACTTGTGTTCATTACATCATTTGTGTTCATTACATCAATCGAACTTGATATTACTGTGCATCTTGCGATACTGCATTATGCATAACATCTTGTTTTGAAGATTTTCATACAATACAGACTTTGCTATAAATTCCAATATTTTCACTTGATAGGTGGAAAATAATAATTAGCAAAAAATAATATAAATAAAAAATAAGTCAAAATAAGTAAATGAATAAAAACAAAAAAAAATAAAATGTAAAAAAACGAAAAGGGACTACATAAATAACTTTCTACGTCCACGTCGTTAGTGCGGATTACGCTAAAGCTAAAGGAAAGTTTCATATGTACGTAAATGTTTATATGTTATTCAATTCGACTTATCTAGCTAAATAACACTATTTCTACATAAAATTTCGATAATCTGATTTCAGAAATGTGTTCTGTGACATCAAAAACACATAGAAACACTAAAAACAAAAAATGAAAATTTTTTACATTGGCCGTTCCGTTGCGGACCGAACTGGCCATTATAGTGGCCAGTGGAACACTCGTCGACTCCTCGTGACATAAACATTCAATATATACATGAATTTTACATAAAAAATTCCAAATTTTAAGGCAAAAATGCCGGCCATCTAAAGGTTAAAAAAATTATTGTAGTCTCGATATTTTTGGATATTAGGATTTTCGTCTGTGCACGTCATTATCACTTCGTTTTTGACGTCTTTTATGACGTGACTTTGGTGACATTATTGACTCAAAAAAAGACGTCATTTTGACGACACTTTGCTACTTGGGTGATTTAATAAATATATTCATATATTAAATAAAATACTAATATATTAAATAGTTTTCAATATCTATATACTCTGTATTTATTAATTCTCGAATCCAAAAGTTTGTTTTCGCGCGTCTAAATAATAAAAGAATTCAAAAGTGCAATTACTTTGAATTTCTGAGTTCTGTTTAAAACTAATATCCGCCGGGAAATAATTAAATAATTTCTGTCTATAAGTTCTTGTATTTAGATGTTAAATATACCGGCAGATTATTTAAACGCATTCAGAAGAACAATTTTTCTGAAACTATACCAACTTTATTAGTTTTATATAAAGACAATGTTAGCCCAACAAAGTCGCAATAACAAAATACATCAAATTGTAATTGATTAAAAAGTGACTTTTAATAACTTTAATAAAATTTGTAACTATGTGACGTCATTTTGAAGTTATAATGACTCATGCTTTAATGATTTGAAAATTATATATCTCACGTACAATACTATGCAAGAAAGAAATTGATGCGCAGACTTCTGATAGTCGTAAATTAGTTTGTAAATATTTAGAAATCAAGTCCTAAAATTTTCAGATTTATCCTTTATTTTCTCTAAGAAAATATGATTACTGTATACGCGATATTCGTATTGTGCGGGGACGAGTCTGATAAGACTCAATGACCTTTATCTCCTTGTAGCAACAAATAAGACACGTAATCAACGACACACCATTCTTATCAACTCGTCAATAAATACGGGAGTACATCTCGTCCGAATTACATTTCAATGATAACGTCGCAAATGCCTCACGTGGGTTTTGCTTTACGGTAAGAAATTAAGAATGCTTCCGACGGCAAAATCCGAGATAAATATGCATGAGGTGGAGGTCCCAAGAAACATTATCGTGGACTGCGATGCCGGTATCGATGACGCTTTGGCCTTAATCGTTCTTTTGGCAAGTCACACCACCAAGAGACTCAACGTTAAGGCTATTACTTGTGTTAACGGCAACACTAAAGTGAGCAATGTGGTGAGAAATGTGTTCAGAACGCTGCACGTGTGCGACTGCACAGATGTAAGTTATTGTATCATTCGTTTTTGTGTTCTTATAAAGAGTTTAAATAAGCATTACATATAGTTATTCCCATAGATACCTGTTTATCGAGGAGCGTATTCGTCTCTGTTGGACACTCCGAATGCCAAAGAAACAGCATCAGAATGTTATCACGGAAGTGATGGATTCGGAGATATATTCACTGATGATCCGGATACAAGTAAGCTGCAAGAAGAGCATGCTGTGTGCGCTTTACACAGAATCACATCGGAGGAGCCAGGTATATAATTAATACAACCTTATTTGCTATTACATAACATAAACTATATGTTAACTTAATAATTGTTTCATAATTAAGGTAATATCTCCGTGGTTTGCTTGGGTCCTCTGACGAACATAGCGATGGCTATAAAACTGTATCCAGAGTTTATGAACAACGTGAAAGAACTTTTTGTAATGGGTGGAAATTATCTTATAATTTTTATACAAATTGAAACATTTTTCGGAAATACTTAGAAATATTCGGAAAGTTTACATCTTCTCTCAGAATTTTTCATACATGTGAATTCTGAAATATTCTGAGGTTTCTCATTCCATAATTTAAGAAAAATATTTTAAAATTTTTTAGATTTTATATAACATTTTATCCGAAATTATACTTACAAAAGGTCTTAGAAATCTTACGATATTTCATAATTAACATAATATATGGAAAATTATGAGAAAAGATGTAAATTTTCTGAAAAGTGTTCCAATTCGTATAAAAAATATGAGAAAGTTATAAAATTATATAGAAATTTTGAAAAATTATACAGAAATTCTGAAAAATTATATGAAAAATTTTGAGAAAAATTTTCATCAGGATTGTTAAATTAATAGACCTTTTTAAAATTTACAATACAAAATAAGGGCAAAATGTTTTTAGTTTACATACAAATGGCAATATGTACATAAGTATGAAATATATGTGTATTACAGACTGATATACGCGACGTCCTGAACTCATAGGTGTGTATTATTTAGATACGTGGCAATCAAAGTGTTA